AACCCGTCTTAAACAGTATGAATATATCCTGCATATGTCATACTACAAAATCGTCCATCGTTAAACAGGGGTGGAGGCCTCCGGGTTCAACTGTCCCCCTCTTACAATGCTGTGATTGCTAGTATCACTCAGCCCTCTGTGAATAGTAAACAGCCATCAGTGTGCTAATGATCCATTGTTATGCTGATGGTCCTTCTTGAGCATGTGATCAGCTGGTTTTGGTTGTCAGCAGCAAAACTGGTTGATCCACTCTGAGAAGGTGCTATTTAAGAGACTGAGCTGAAAACAGCACCTCAGACTGAGGAAGTCTCTCGGATGAGAGATGAAAAGTTTCTATATATTTTTGCTTTGTTTTGTTTTTTGTTTTTTTTGAATGTCCAGAGGACCAGATTGAACTTTCTTGGATCTTTAGCAGCATTGTTTTCTTACTAGCGACACCTACTGTTCAGGAGAAACATCGCAGCAGCACTGGTAAAAACATTAACTAACACTGAAAGTGTGCTTCAACCTGATCGTGTTAATCAACTACTGTTCCAGAAATAAAATGTTCTGCTGTGATTAATGTGAAAGTGGATTTTGTTGCTCACCGCTGAGTTGCTGAGTGCGAAACACATCTGATGCTGGCCAATTTAAATTAGGCACCAAGTCTAATTTTGTGTATTCTTCAATTGTGAGCCATGTTTTATGTTGTATGACTTTTATGACTATGGCATTTTAAAATTAAGGAATTTTTTAAATAAACTTATTTTTTGTACAGGGAATGTTTGAGGCTTAATTTCTAGTCTGCAATTTCTGCTTGCCTTATTAAGAGTGCTGTCAGGGAGGGACAAATGGATATTATTATTATATTCAGGTATTCTTTATACTTATACATTTTATACATCAAAACGTCAACATTTTGTTTGTATAGATTTTATAACCAGTTCATCAGAACAGTAACAAATTTCCTGATTTAACAGCAATTTATGTTGCAAACAAACAATATAGGCCACTTGGGTTGGGAAGGGGGTCTGCTGGGGATTTGGGGATTAGAGGGGGAGTTGGCTGTGATGCAGTAGAAGCACCTGAAAAAAGTTGAACTCCAGTGAATTTGATGCAGACTCTAACAAATATCTGTTAAAATTAATAGTTGATTGATGCAAAACAGCCATTTTTGATAAATGGAACAAGGACCCTGTGGATATATTAAACAATTTTAATATCACACACTGCTACCAAGCTCTTTTGTGCAACTGTGATATTCTGAATGACTTGTTTTTGTTTCCTTAGTGGCAGGTCCATCTACCTCCTTGACCACCATGTCCCTGCTGGCCAAGAACACACCGTCGCGCTCCGAGATGACCAAGGTGCAGCAGCAGGTGAAAGTGAACGGAGCTTCAATGACGGTACTGCGGCGAGAGATGCAAGAAATTCGTGTCAAGCAGCTGGAGCAGCAGAAACAGCTGCAGGACCAGGAGCAGAAGCTGCTGGAGCAGAGTCAGGTGATCGGCGAGCAGAACGCTCGCCTCGCTGAGCTTGAGCACAAACTCCGCGAACTCCTGGACAGCAACGCTGCTGTAATAGGAGGGTCCAGACCTCCCACAGCAGTCCCCTCCACATCCAGCTCTTCTGCTGCATCTTCCACCGTTGCCAACACGTCTCCCGCTTCGTTGACGAGTGACAGCTTGGCTGTAGCCTCACCCAAAGAACTGGAAGGCGAGGGCAGCTCGTCGCTTAAACGCAGCAGAAAGAGCTCAGACCTTCCACGACATTCCAAACGACTGCGCAGCAGGAAATGAGGCCGTGCGTTACTAAATCTTTCTCGTTGGTTTCTATCGCTGACTGATCACACACTCACGCTCCATAATTGCTCTCCAACGTGCATCGTGCGCACCGCACCATGATGCTTCCACCTCATGTTTGTTGGATATGATGAATGTTAACACCAACCTCGATGCCATCAGCTCAAACGCCGAAGCCAGTATTGACAGGGTCAATATATTTGATTGTCACTTAAAGGACTGTTTAAGCTGTTCTGTTGTTTTTTACCCTCGTCAACAAACGCCTGGAAAACATCCCAAATATGCACTAAAACATGCATCAGCTTACAAGTTCAGTAGCAGTCGAGTGTAGGCACACCTGCTTCTTCAAACAGCATGGGGTGGCAAGCACACGGTCTGACAGGAGAACAGCGTGCATGGAAGGATTCAAACTGAACTGGGTGTAATTATAAAGGAAGATGTCATGTACAGGTGAAAGTTCCAGTATTTTATATAGTTTCTGCACAATAATCATGTCCTGTGGCCATGGGACACGAGAGGGGGTCCAGTCAGGCGTCATTTAGACCAGTGCTCCGCAGTGCTGGTCCTCAGGCTCTGCAGCTTTTATGTGTTTTACTGCTCCAGCACAACCAAGTCCTCCTCAGCCGTAAAGGTTGGCAGAAGCCAACAAGGACTTAGAAGCTTTTTCGGCCATTTTGAGGTGGGGTTCTTTTGGTGAAAATTTAAAAGTTTATCTGTTCTTGATAGTTCTAAGGATTTCAGTATGAAGAACTAGTTTACTTCTGATCAGGCTGATGAGCTAATGGCTAGTCTGACGTGGGTCAGTGCCATCTGAAAACACATCTGATCTAAAGACGTTCCCAATAGTTCAAATGATTCATTTCATACACCTCTGCACATTGTTGAATTTGCAATGGAAATGTGCTCATTTGGATAATTTGTTAGTGCCTCAACAGAGGGACGCCTCCAAACGGACTCTTCCAAAGTGAATCACTGTGGTTTGAAAAGAAGTGCGTTCTTCAACAGTTCTTGGAAATTTTATTGTTTTTAATCTTTACATTTCCTTTAATTTTGCATCACACATTTAGTTTTGTGTGGTGTGGCATAAAGACTGGTCCTGCCAGACATTTGACCTGAGGTTGAACTACAACTACGTGCTGCTGCTGTCCGTGCTTACATAGTCAAAAATATTGATGTAAAAATCCGTCATGTGAATGTTGTGAAGTTAGTCCTACTAGAGTCTACTTATCCAAACTGAGGCCATTCAAAAGACTATCTGCAGCAAGTAAGATTGTTCATAACATTTTCACAGAACTCCTCCTCAGAATGGCCAAAATACTCTTCATCTAAATCAGGTGTGATAAAGCAGGAAATGTACAAACCCATTGAGCGGTGGGACCCAGGGACCAGGTCTGAGGAACACCGGCTTAGACCTTTGTTTTAGTGGGTTCCTTTCTTTAGTAGTGGACAAAAGCTTTAGTCTTTTGCTTTCTGTCATATTTTTAAGAAGAAGAAGAAAACCTCTTGAAGTTGTCTTTTTATTTTATTTTTACAAACAAGACAGAAGCGGCTCAGCTCTGTGTCGGTAATTGAAAGAATTAGCTGAAGTTTTGGTTGGACTACTGCTTGTGCCGCCTGCCAAGCTACACGTACTCGCCAACTCAGCTCTGTGACTACCTCTTGTCATCTCAGAGGCGTCAGCGGTGGATCTGCTCCACCTCCACGTCACACGTGAAACTGAAGCGCAGCAAAGGCGATTAAGTTCTAGCCTGACGCATTACATGTTTATTTAAAACTAATAGAAATGACTGTAGCTTTTTAATTTATAAACTTCTAGGGTGCACATATTTGCAAATAACAGAAAATGGTATAGTAACCTAAATAAGAAGTCACATTGCAGCTGTTAGTGGAACTATAAAAGACTCAGTGTTCAGGCAGCGTTAGTTAATATGATGACTGTCCTCTCCAAAGAGAGTAACATGAAAATGAAGAGTTCTTCTGTCTCCTAAGTTTCAGACAGCCTTCAGTCATTAATTCACTTTATATTTTGAAACCAAATACTTTCATCAACCTCTCAAGCTCAGTCTGACATTTACACCATCTGTCACACCAAAATCACAGACCATGTTTGTTTCTTTGTTGTAGGAAATCAATAAAAACTTGGAGTAACTATTTGGATTTATAAAACAGGTTAATTTACTGTAACTTTCCATTGAATCAATTTATTTTTTATTTTTTTAATCCCAGAGACATTTCAGAGATCTGTTTTCTTCACAACACATCATATCTGAGACAGCAGGACGTAAGAAAAGAAACTTTCTGACCCGAGTGTCATGTCATTGTAACAGCCATTTAAAAATTAAGTAAAAATCCTCAGACCTCGCACTTGGTACAGGTGTTGTGGCAGAAAGCAGGACTGGTTTGCAGTGATTGTGGGTGGGAGTTGTGGAGATGATTGATGTGATCAGGACAAGTTCCCCCGTCCTGTACAAACTTCTCTGCCTTGTTTTGCTAGTTTAGCTATGAAATCATTGCGTGGCTGCTTTTTTAAAAGTATTTTTCTTGTTTTGATGACCTGAACAACTCATGGCATGAACCTTTGGAAATCCACTTGTGTGTATTATAGTTACACTGGGCAGCAAAACTTTGCAATGTGATCTAGTGGCTTATTAAGAGAAAATGTACTGTAATCTTCATGTACTTAAACGTGTAGATTGTTAATTATTTCATGTATGTAAACAAAAGAAAAACGTCTTTTGTGTTGGTCAGTTTGGCCCAGCTATGAGATTTTTGTTGCACATATTACTGTTACAAATGTACAAAATCAAACCTATTAAATCTCATCAAAGTAAAACTGTATGTTTGTAAATTTTAATGAATTGAATTATAGCCATTTTTGTGTTTGCTAAGATTGATTCACTGTGATGGCCATCTTTATTGGATGGCACCAGTTGTTAAAAAGGTGTAGAGATAAATCCGGTCATTATTTCCTGAAAGTTATTAAAATTCATCCAGTGGTTCAAGAGATCGACAGTTAACAGACACAAAATCACAGCAAAAAAATTATTGCACACCTGTCTGCTGCAAATGATAAGATATGCTTAATATTCTAACATTTAAGTGTGTTAATGCGAAAGTATGACAGATTTTGTGCTGTACCTGTGAGGACCTCAAAAACTAGACCAAAGTTGTGAGAAGTGCTGAGTTTAAAGGAATAGTTTAGTCTTTTTGAAGCATTTTCTGTGTAAAAATTAAGAATATCACCTGTTGTTGAACAAAAACCTTAGTTAATAGTTGACCACTTCAGTCTCAATTTTAAGATACTAAGTCAATTTTTGAAATGCTATGTTATAATTATGAGATGCTGATTTAACTGTCGAATGCATAGTTATAACTCAAATACCAAGTCATAATATTAAATGCTTAGTCATAACTGTTAGATGCAAAGTTATAACTGAGATGCTAAAATATGATAAATATAAAATTTATTGTCGTTCAAAATTGTACAGTGCACCATGCAAAACAATGAAATTTCATGTCTGCACAGCAGTGTAGGAGCACATAATTCAAATTAGTTTTATAGACTTTGGTGTTTAGGAATGGCTGTGGATGTGTGTGTCGCTTCATCAGTGACCTGAGTTCAGCAGTCTGATAGCTCGAGGGATGAAACTTGCAGAACCTGGTGGTTCTGGTCCTGTGGTACCTCCTGCCAGAGATCAGCAGAGTAAACAGTCCATGTTGTGGGTGTGAGTTGTCTCGTGATTGTATTTGCTCTGTACAGACGCAGCTGAAACCAGTGTCCTGGATGGATGGGAGGGGTATCTTAATGATCTTCACTGCCATTCTCACCTTCTTTTTCTTTTGTCTTTTTCCTCTTCAGAGTCTCCACAGCGAGTCATCCTCCTCCATCTCACTCTGTCCTCTGCATCCTCTGTCCTCACTCCAACTACCTCCATGTCCTCTCTAACTGCATCCATATATCTCCTCTTTGTCTTTTTCCTGGTAGCTGCATTTCTAACATCCTTCTACCAGTATACCCACTGTCCCTCCTCTGGACATGTCCAAACCATCTCAGTCTGGCCTCTCTAACTTTATCTCCAAGTTGTTCAACTTGTGTTGCACCTCTGATGATCTCATTCCTAATCTTATCCATTCTTGTCACTCCTAAGGAGAACCACAACATCTTTATTTCTGCCACTTCCAGTTCTGTCACCTGTCATTTTACCCATGTCTCTGTCTCTAGATCATACAATATAACTGGTCTCACCACTGTCTTGTAAACTTTTCCTTTGACCTTTTGTCACAAATCACTCCTGAAACTTTTCTCCATCCACTCCATCCTGCCTGGACTCTCTTTTTCACCTCTTTACCACACTCCCTATTTTCTTGGACAGTGGACCCCAAGTATTTGAAGTCCTACACCTTTGTGACCTCTGCTCCTTGTAGTCTCACTGTTCCACCTCCTCCCTCTCATTCACACACATGGACTCTGTCTTACTACAGCTGACTTTCATTCCCCTTCTTTCAAGTGCATACCTCCACCTCCCCAAGTTCTCTTCCACCTGTTCCCTGTTCTCATCACAGATCACAATGTCATCTGCAAACATCATAGTCTACGGGGATTCTTGCCTGACCTCATCTGTTAGTCGGTCCATCACCAGAGCAAACAAGAAGGGGCTCAGAGCAGATCCTTGATGCACTCCTCCCACCTCCACCTTGAAGCTATCTGTCACTCCTACAGCACATCTCACCACTGTCCTGCTGTCCTCATACATGTCCTGTACCAGTCTAAAATACTTCTCTACCACTCCAGATTTCCTCATGCAATACCACACCTCCTCCCTCAGCACTCTGTCATATGCTTTTTCTAAATCCACAAAGACACAATGGAGTTCTTCATGACACTCTGTACTTCTCCATTCTCAAAGCAAAGATGTCGTCTGTGGTGCTCTTTCTTGGCATGAAATCATACTGCTGCTCACAAACAGTCACCTCTCTAAGTCTAGCTTCCACAACTCTCTCCCAGATCTTCAGTGGCTCATCAATTTAATTCCCCTGTAGTTGCTACA